TATTCAATTAATAATCTAGCATGATTTCATTGGATGGATGGATGGATGGATGGATGGATGGATGGATGGATGGATGGATGGATGGATGGATGGATGGTGGATGGATGGATGGATGGATGGATGGATGGATGGATGGATGGATGGATGGATGGATGGATGGATGGATGGATGGATGGATGGATGGATGGATGGATGGATGGATGGATGGATGGATGGAATCTTGCCAAAGTTTTATGTCTACTGATTTGGGCCAGAATCTATTGAATTTATTAACCTTTTTGATGCCTGAATAATTTCTGAATTTAATCTACTGACAAAATAAAAGTTTTCACATAAAACATCCAGCAAATAGAAATGAAAGCAAACGAGTTACATTATTTAATAAACAGAAACGTCAAAGCAGCTCCAGGAAACTTCCTGGATAGAAAAGGTTTTTTGGTTCAAAGTTGTTTCTCTGACGTCATTTTTGTGTTTCAAACTGTGTGATTCCAATAACATGCTGCTGCCGCCTGCAGCTACAACACGATAGCTCTGAGCTACCTGGGTTCAGATCACAGAGCCTTGAGCCCGACCTTGATGCTGTCGGGCAGTGATGCTCATCTGACGGCCGGGTCGGTCTCTGACAAGAGCTGAGATGTAGTTAGAGCAGGACAGTAATGGCAACAGACAGCAGTGACAGGACAAGAAAGGAGGGGGGCAGGCAGGAACAGATGGAGACAGATGATCCCACAGGATGGAGAGACGATGGAGAGGTGCAGAAGCTTGAGCAGGGATGGAGAGGAAGCAGATAAAGGAAGGGTAAAAAGGAAAGAGGGAGAGGAGTCCTGCTGCCATATGAGTCTGTCCTCCTGTTGGTGTCTCAGTTTGCTGCTAAGCCTCATTTTTATTCCACTGGTGGAGCTCAATGGATCTGTGGCCGGGAGCTGGTCGGGTCTGGACGATCTGATTCGCAAAGCAGCTTGAGTGCTCTTCCAAATTACGGATTAGATGTGGTCAACGTCGGGGGACATTTAACTCCACTGTAACTGAGACTGAAGATGTTGGAATCAGCAGGGACCATACAACATTAAAATGAAACTAACAATTATAATTTATCACTTATTCTGATGGTTAATCAATTATTCTGATGAGTATTCAAGTAATTAAATAATCAATGACATTAAAACAAGGGTTCAGACTTACAATCATAGCTTAAATTATCAGTTATTTTTGTCAATCAGTCAATTATTCTGACGGTTAATCTATTAAGTGATCGGCAACATTAAAACTAGGGCTGAAAAAGTATTATAGGTTAAATTATCACTTATTCTGATCATTAATTGATTGTTTTTGGTAATGAATCGAATATTAAAAATGGCATATTTTGCAGATTTTTTATGTAAAATAAAAATCACGTTAAATAATTTTCAAAATGCATTAAAAGATTTTTAACAAATAGTTTAATTTGTTTTTTAAGTAGATTTTTTTTTTGCCTAAAATGCAACAACATAGCACTCTTTTAGCTTATGTTTGATTATTTGTTGCAAAGAGTGATTCTAACATCAACATGCTTTTCCATTTAACATGACATCAATACAGTGTAGTATCAATCTGCATTTTCCTAAATTAGCTGATTAATAATTGGACAGCAAAAAGTGCTCATTTTTTTTTTTTTTTTACAGAATTTGAACCAGGCGTAGCTAAAAATACGCCAAATGAGTTTTAGGCATTAAGTAATGTTAGGGAGAATTTATTCTTTTTCATATCAGTCCAACTTGGATTTATCAAACCATTTTTAGTTTTGCATCACTCTCAGATTTTCCTTGGTTTTGATCTGAAACATTTAAACGTGGGGGACAGTAAAAACAGGAGAAACGTGTCAGCTGATTCAAATAGTTTTTCACAGAAGTTGTTCAGAGTAAAATTGAAGCTCGAAGTGAAATTTACCAGAACTCATGTCGTCTTGAAGGGAAAAGGTTTTCCCTACAAAATCCCCCTTTGATGGGAAGTAAAAGTAGTGACCTCTCTTTGCAGAATAAAAAATCCCAGCCAAGCTTTTTGTCTCCATGTTGCCTGAAGGTGAAACAAAAAGGTAGAACAGGAAGGATGAGATGAAAGCCAGGAGAGGAAAAGTGACGAATGGAGAAGGAATCGTGTGTTAGACAGGAGAGCTCTCACTGCAGAATGTTCCGACCCAAACGCCGCTTCCCCCCACAGCTCTGGATCAGCGCCTTGGTAGCTGCTACATTAGCCTCATTAGAAATGCAAAGCAGGCCAATTAGCAGCAGAGAGTGCAGGAAGTGACACGTTCCACCTGAAGAAGCCCACAGAACAGACAGCATCAGTGTCCGCAGCCTGCAATAAATCACGCCACTGTGAATCTCTGCACACTTTTATGGGCTCATTAGTTATAGCTTAGGACAAAAAACCTCTGCAGATTTACATTTGAATCCAGGCTGAGTGAAACTCAGAATCTCTCCAGTCTTTCTCACAATGTATTGCTGTGAAAATGGTTGCAAACAAGTGTGGTTAGGTTTTGATTTGATCCGTTTCAGGAGGTGTCAGACTGTTTCCCTCTGGTATAATGCAGTCTGCGCTGAGCGTCTTTTATTTGACAGATCCCGAGTTTCATCACCGCATCGGGAAAGAAAGAAACTCTCTGGTTCAAAAAAATTTGCTCTCGGAGTGGAAAATATACAACTGCAAGAATATAGTAACTTTATGGCGTCTGCTCTGTAATATTGTCACAGAAACATGACGTTTTCTGTGAATTGGATCTTTTTGTGTTTTGATATAATAAAACAGAGGAAACAGGAGAAGTTTTAGCTTTTTGTTGAACACAAAGAGACAGATCTTTGAAATTTATGTCAAATAAAAAGCTAATTATTCTATTAGCAAAGGTGTGTTGGGTTCAGGTCAAAAGTTTTCATTCACTCATCATGGGCCAACCTGGCATGACGTTTCAACATCAAGACATCTCTTAGTGAGTCAGGTATCTCAGGCAGGAAGTGACAATATCTTCTCAAGGATATGAGGATTAGGGCCATTGAAAAATTACTTACTTTTCTTCATAAATCTGACTTTAATCTTGTGGGATAAAAAAAAGCCATTCTGAAAAAAGCCAGAATTTTGAGAAAAAGAGTTCTGATTTTGAAAAGTCAGAATTCAAAGATTATAATCAAAATGCTGGGGAAAGCAGTCAGAAAATAGAATTCTGAGAAAAAGTCAAAATTCTGAGAAAACAGAATTCTGAGAAAAAGTCAAAATTTTGAGAAAGAAGAACTTTGAGAAAAAAGTCAGGATTCTGAGTAAATTGATCTCTGAAATAGAAAGGAGGAGGGATTTTTGTTGCAAAAGTCACTTTTTTCCCTATAAAAATACTCTTAGGAGGGTGACAACATTGTTGTCAGGTAATTAAAAGACTTTCTCATCGCCTTTTTTTCTTCCACTTGCAGGTTCTGGTCTGGCACACTCGCACAGAGAAACCGCACCTCGCCAACGAGCCCAAACTCAAAAAAGACACCGTGGACATCGAGGTGTGATGCCATCAGACCTTCAGCTTTGGAGTGAGCGACAGCGACCTGCTTTCTGCCCAGAACAGGCGGAGACGATCCGAACAGCAGACAAAAACTCTGAGGGTCTGCATGATTCATGACTCTGCCGTCCATCCAAATGTTGCTTTTGGGAGAACCGGACTCGTCTAAAAAGAGCTGCGACATCCTGGACTTTCTGTTTTCTTCCATCCACATCCTGCTGATGTAACTACAAAACGTATAAATGTGAAACATTGTGCTGCTGAACTGAGAAGTGCCGTGTGTGTCACTTTGATTCATCATGTTGTCAAACTGACTGTGGGACGGCAATATAAAGAGGTCAGACAGATAATATGCGACTCTGTTGTCTGTTTTCAAAGCACATGTTAATAAAACACGCTCAGTTACACCGTCTGGAGAATGAGCAATCATTACCGTGGGACGATGTTCGCTCAGTTTTTTTTAATTCAGAAAAAAATATCCACACCCCAAAATTATGTTATTTAACAGATGAACAAAGTGGAAAACAACTTCATTATCACCAAACCTACTTTGGATTGATAAGATTCTCCACGTTTTAAGCTATCAGATAATAGTTCCGTACATTTATCTTTGATTTCATTGGCTATGCATTTTCAATTTGTTTTATTTCTGCGATTTTACAGCCTCTATATTGTGTCTGAGTTACATGATGATGAGTTTTCTGACAACACTTAATTTGTATCATTACAATATTCCAAAGCATTTTGATTTTAGGTACACAGAAGATCAAATGTGGAGAAAAAAGAACTAAAATCTATAATAGCCACACCAGAAATACTCTAGCTCACCAAAACTTACATCCATGAGAATTAGGATTCAGTTTTTAAGGTGTTTTATAAAACCAGTAAATAACAGTTCCTCCATAGTTTTCCTTTCTACAAAGCACCATAACTGCTGCATTTATTGATTCAATATAGCTGCAGATGTCTTTCTATAGAAAGCTGTCCTGTTGCATTATTGAAAGCTGTATTATTGTCCACTTGTTCACCATAAAGTGAAAAATAACATCGATTTGCAAGTTTAGAAGAAAATAGGTCTCCGATTTTGAATTTGAAACTTTTGTTGTGAAGTTCTAAGTAGTAAACATGTACCAAGGTCTGGCGTTACGTAGATAAAAACTAAATAATGAGCCGCCGCCCCAAGGAACTCTGAGTTTTATATGGAAAAAATGGGATTTTTATCCAATCCCAATCGTCTCACAGTGAGTTCCTTTTATTCCAATTCATGTCTGTTATTCTGGATTTCCCACCAAACGACTCAAATGATCATTTTGGGTCAAAAGTTTCTTTCAATCATGATGAAATAAACTTTTCATCATGAAACATCACATAAAAACAGAAAACCTGAATTTTTGGAATAGCAGAAAATGACTTCCTGCTTCAGGACTGAAAAACTTAAATGAGAAAACAAGGATGAAAAATAAAAACAGTGAGAAGTTTAGGATTTCAGAGACTTTATTCAAACTGAACCTCATTAAATTTGAAAGAACAAAAAAGGAGCAAATAATTCAGCAGTGGAGTTGAAGGTCAGACAGAGATTGTTTTTAATCACAGAATTCACCATTTTCTGCACTTAGGCACTAGAAATATTAATCAGACCACAAATAAACCTGGAGGACTTTAATTTTATTGTAATGTTCACACAGAGTGCACCAGTTATTGCATGGCAGAAACAGACAATGATGGGACCCATCCAAGAGTTTCATACAGGTCCTTCTTTTCAACCTCTGATTGGTTATCCAGGTTTATTTGTAGCAAACTGTTTCTCTTGCACCACACACGACAAAAAGCACCACAATAAAGATGGCAGAGAGATCGCTTACTGGGGATGAAACGCTGCAAGAGCCGCACCGGTTCTGAATATCAGAAAAGTTTCAGCTGGACATGAGTTACCAGGAAAACACAGCTGGAGATACACCTGTGATTTCCGCAAGGATTGTGGAGGAGAAAAATGGCTCATTTTAACAACAAACTCATTTTATTTGTTTCTTCTTTTGGAAAATCACAGATGAAGTAACCTGAAACACCTAGAGGAACCGGGGACGGCTCAGCAGTTAAAATGTAACATCTACATTTTGAGGTGTTAAAGCACCAGATGAGAGTACACACCTCTCTCACGGCTTACGACCCTGCTAAAGACCCTGCTAAAGACCCTGCTAAAGACCCTGCTGTCTCCTGGGACGGATTAAAAGCTCATTTGTCTCCTTATCGTGTCAAAACAAACAGTGATCGGTTTCAGAGGCTTTGAAATAAACGTTTGGAGAGAACTGAACCAGATCTGCGAGAGGTTACGCTCTAAACTATTTGTCCCTTTCCTACTGGTCTGTCATGAAAGTTAAAGGCGACACATTACAAAATTCACGTTTTCAATGTTTTTGTATTTCCATTTGGTTCTAAAACTATTTAAAACACATAGCCGGTTTTTTGGCATTACATTAATTTTTTGTGTGTTTTATGAAGAATCCTTATTTGCATAATCAAAGATGTTCAAAGATACAAAAGTTTATCTTTGCACAAAGATGCATAAAGCTGTATGGTTGTATAACTGCGAATCTGTTTGCAGCCATTTCAGTTTCAGCTTATTTAAATTTAAAGAGATAAGATGCCCTAAAACAGCTCACAGACACAACTGATTAGACTAAAATCTCATTAACTAAGAGTGATTTTGTGCAAAAGATGTAAGGAATGTGTTTTGTGTCGCCCATAAACCTACAGCATAATAGGTCACCTATAAGCATGTTTTCATTAGCAGCACCGAGATGCTACTTCCCTTCTTAAATCTTAAATTGTGGAAACTTTCTTTCCTTTATGGCTGCAAGGAGCTCCAAGAAGTGCAAATGTTTTATTTTGTTCTTGAAGTGAAAATCAAAGTCAATATGAAAGAACTGCTGAGTAGCTCTTATGTTCACTGATATATTTGGGCACAAGGGGATTTGCTCACTAAATAATCAAACAGAACCTGCTGTGATTGTAATATTGCTTCACTTAAATGCTTTATTTAAATTATATTACAAGGGAAATTGTTAAAATCTGCAGCTATATGTGGAAAATGACATTTAAAATATAAACCTGCAGCAGAATCTCACAGAAAAGCCCAGAAAGCTGAGACTTTTTTCCCTCTTCTTTGAAAATGCAGGAGTTTCGTATTGTTTTTCATAGAAATGCAGAACTGCTCAGACAAGTATCTGCTGTGTGCTTCTGTTGGCTCAATAGAGGGAGTCAGTGGAAGAGAGAAGAGTTCAATGTACATTACAGAGTGAGGCGGGAAGCATAGACCAACAACAAGATATCCATATCTACTGTAGGTACTGAACCACGATTCACTAACTCTACGTTTCTGTAATGATAAAGGCTTACGTTAGCGTTAGCAGCTTCCTGCCTGTTAGTCTGTTTTGTCTTTTTTCAGACAACAACAACAAAGGACGGATCAAAGGAGGAACATTTGGAAAGACGGTGAACACACAGCTGCGATCTTTCTTCATATTTTTTTTTAAGTTGTTAAATTATTATTAGTAGTTATAGCAATGTTGTGCATACAGGAGAGTAAATCAGTCTGGTGCCACCCCGCCTCCCACTGCATCCTCTGAACTTGGTCCAGGTCACTTCCACAGCTGAGTGCTGAGGGTCTGACCCGAAGCTGGCGCTGGAGAAGCGGACCAACCGGTTGTAGGCGCGGCGGCCGCTGGTCCTCCGCCACCCAAACCCATGCTAGACATTTGCTGTGATAGGGGGGGGAAAGAACAAACAAAACACCAGAGGAAATTCAGTTGTTGTTTTTTTTACTCCTTAAGAACAAACGCAGGTTCTAAAATTACCAATACAATGAAGGTCGACTCCATTTTCCTGTGGACATGGACTATGCCGGTGTGGGTCAAGTAAGAAATATCTCAATATCACGATATTAAAAATATTTTAATGAGTGGCAGTATTAAGATTGTGTAAAATCTAGTTAAACTGATTTATAGATTGGCCACTGCCTTTTTACAAGTTTCTATTTGATTCTCATCTCTTCTCAGTGTTCTGTCCGGGATTTCTTCCATTGATCTCAATTCCAACCAGACTCAGAAGAATATAGACATTACACTTCTCTGTTTACAGGAATAAGAATGGATTTTAAAGTTGCTGAGCAATGAAAACATTATTGTCAGAAGATTGCAGCAAGATGAAGGAACAGTTTGCTTCAGCCATCATTTATATGCAGAATTATGATGCAAGTCTGACATAAATTATATAAAAAGTGAATAAAATGCAACATGACCATTCAGACTGCAGTTCGGACTTGAAAGCTATCAGATATCTGATTTAATTCCACATATGAAGATGGAACAAATCGAATTTTTTTGGAGGGTGAAAAGATCAGATTTGGGCCATTCAGACTGCTGTGAAAAAAAACATTTAATAATTGGATATGGGTTGCTTTTACCTAACAGATTCAGCTTGCTCTAATCGTGTCATTCTGTAAAGATCAGAAAAATAATCACAGACACGTCATTAAAAGAAAACAAAGATTTTTACACATTTGTAATGGAAATCTGTGACATATTTACTGAGGGTTATCGTGGTGTCAGACTCTCAAAATGGCCGGTGTGTCCTACCTATTCAACATCCACCTTTCATTCTGTCTTATCTATTATCTACTATGAATGTTCCTCACTTATCTGCTCACCTGAGTGCTGTAGGTGTGCGTGTGCAGGGGATGTTCTTTGACATCCCCTGCAGACGTAGTACACACACATATATCCTCACCTGCACACCTGTACATGTAGTTCTGTGAGAACTAGTTTGACAGCTATGTGTGTTTCTGTGCTGCCTCATCACAAAGGTGAGGTTGGGGAGAGAAAGCAACAAGAAAAGCATCTTATGGCAGAGCTGGTGTCAAAACAAAGGTTTTTTTTGTACTCCGGTTTTCATCTGAGGTGTTATTTACTAGCAGCAGACTCTAGATTTGCTGAACATCTGGTCCAAAGTGGACTGAAAAGCTGCCAGGAAAACAATCTCATAGGAATGCCAGAGCTTCCTTATTTCTCTGAAGCCCTTTCTTTTTTTATTTCTTAACAGTTTCCACAGCGCTAACTAAACATACGGCTCATTACAGCGGGCAACAAAGTGCTGCTGAAACCCAGTTTTTGTCAGGTTATCTTCCTTTCCCAGCTGCCAGCTCCGACAGTTTGCTTCCAGCTAATGGACAGAAACCAACTCTTCATCCGAGGATCTGATTTAAACCTTCACTCCATGCTGACAGTTCATCATTTCACTTCTAAATTATCATTAAAAACATTAAAATTATAAAATTATTGCTGTCGCACGTCGCTATTACTGCCTGGTTTAACGAACGAATCAAATTAGCTGGCAATGCAAAAACTGACTTTTATGGCTAAGGGGAAGCTTGAAGACTTTTAAAAGGTTAACATTAGTACACCTTGTAAACAGTGACATGTAAACAGAGGTATGTTATTTTCTACGTCTGTATAATACATTTCTAAGAAAAATATTTATTAGAAATAAATGATAAAATCTACCATACTGTTTTCAAGTTAAGGATGTAAAAAGATGTACAGACTCTAGTAAACAAATCCTGTATAGAATATTAATTAGTCAATTAACTAAACTTAGACTCTGTAATTTTTAAAAACAGCAGATTAGAGCTGCTGCTGTGGAAGAATTGCTGAGGAGAAAAAGTCCTGAGCTTTAGAGAAAAGGGTAGATCAACACAACACAGGGCCATGCATCACCTGCTAGGACAAGCATGGCCAAACTGTGACACTGGATTTATGAGATTTAGACTACTAAAACAGCAAAGGTGTGCTCTCTAGTCCACCAAAACACAGAGGGAACCTGGATTAATGTCCTTATGGGTCACCTGGCTCATGTTCCACTGTCCCTGCTGCGGCTGCTGCAGTCCTTGCTGCATGTTGTAGAGGTTCTGTCCTTGGCTGGCCGGCATCCCTGCCAGGTAGCCGCCGTTCGGCAGCGTCACGCCGGACATCGGCGAACCGCCACCCATCACGGCCGTGGTTGGGACGTTTCCTCCCATCGCTGGAGGGAAACCTGGTGGGTTGAACTGTATCTGAGGCTGGCCCAGGTACGATCCCACTGGGGGAAACGACACAAACACAAAAGGAGCAGGAAAATATTTAGGGTTATTTAAGATCACGGTAAAATTCAGATGTTTTAAAACATTTTTATGGTTAACTTTTACATCAACATATTTGGATATAAAAACAAACAAAAACACATTTAATTTGTTTTTTTGGATGGATGGATGGATGGACGGATGAAAGGATGAATGATGAAGCGCGTCATTCCTCTGATTCAGAACGAAGCATCATAAAACTCCCTTCATCTCCATTTCTCATCCTAATCAACTCCCCTCAATGCAGCTCAATAATCAATAATCAACATGGCCTCCACTCTGGATCTGCTGACTCCTCCCTCCCCTTCGCTCGAATCAAATCCCAAAGCGCCGCCGCGCTCGCTTCTTGTGAAGTGTGTACAATAGGAGCGGCCGCCCACGCAGCACAAACACAAACGCTGCTGACACTTCAGTCTTTACATCTAATAAGTGTGAGATGAATCTGCAGACGCTCCGCTCTGCTCACGCCGACGCTGCGTCGCGCCGCTGAATGCAGCAGGGAACTGGGGTTGGCAGCATTTCTGCATGCTGACCTTTGATCTGCCACCATCATCTGTCATTTTCAACACGCGTCACTCGTGGAGTGCACCAGTGTGTAGACGTGCAGCATCTTTTCTTCAACAAATAAACACTCACGTTCTCACCGAGCAAGCTGCAAATCAAAACCCGCCTCTTTCAAATTTAACGTTTGTGCAGCAACATTTTTTGTTTGTGCCGCTTTCATTTTAAAGATATCAATAAATGTTTCCATTTCCGTTTCCGTTTCCAATTGACCATTTCTTAATATCTTTAAAGTCACAGCAGCACAAACAAAAAAAACTGTTGCACAAACGTTTGACACCAATTTTGTTTAATTTTGTTAAAGGAGGGGGACTGGTTGACTTTTCATTAATATTTTCAAAGCTAGAGCAGCACAAACAAATATTTTGCTACACAAACCAGCGCAAAAGTGGTGTAGTCGAGTTGACACCAATTTTGTCTGATTTGAAGAAGGTGCAAGGCTGGTTGACCTTTCACGACCTCTGGAAACATTTCTTAATATATTTAAAATGAGGCCTAATAAGTAGCTGCTCACAGATAAAGTGGGATTTGCTCCTCTCTGCAACATCAAACCCTGCAGAGGTTGTGCAGCTTGGAGGCAAACATTGCACCGAAAGGGTTCAAATTCCACCAACTTCCATTTGCAGTAAGAACCTGTAGTCTAACAGCTCATATACCGAGCCCCTATAAAGGCAGCAAGAGTTCAGAGGAAATGCTTTTAAATCCCATAAAACTCAAAGCAAATGCATAAAGCGTCTCTGCTGGAGCTTTGGGCTCCAGAGAAAAACAGTAAAAGTCAGCTGGCTGAACCTGGATAACAACTGGTTATTAAAAATGGATGGCGGCTGATACCTGGTCCTGCAGCAGCCGGCTGTGGCTGGCTCTGTGGCTGACTGCCCACTGAGCTGCTGCCATACAGAGACAGGATGGAGTCCTTAGATAAAAGCTTCTTCTCCTCCACCTTTGTGGCAGTCGAGGAAGAGGAGGTGGAGGAAGAGGAGGAGGAAGTGGGGGGTTCCCCCTGTGGAGGAGCTGCACTGGAACCTGACTGAAAAAACAAACGAGTAAATTTAGCAAAACATTGCAGATAAATATTTCTATAAATCTACAGTACACACTGCTTCAATTACACTTTCTTAAAGGGCCAGTATTATGTATTTTCCAGGTATTTATAGCACATTTAAGTAACTATGCTAACTTAAGATGTTATAAAATGCTATACACGGCTCTGGAAAAAAAAATAAGAGACCTCTTAAATTGATCAGTTTTACTCTTTATAAATGAGTGAAACTCATTTATAAAGTAAAATGAACATTATTCTTTTATTCTATGAACTACTGACAATATGTCTCTGAAATTCCAAGCAAAAATGTTGTATTTATTTTCATCTACCTAAAAAGAAACTTTTAGGAAGATTTAAAGGCTTGTTTTAAGTAAATTATTTCTTAATATTGATGAAAAGGTTCTCGTTTCATTGGCAGATTATTTAACTTGTAATATTATATTTTTCCTGTGTTATAAGTTAAATAATCTGCCAGTGAAACTAAAACTTTTTCATAAATATTTAGGAATTATTTATTTAAAACAAGCCATAGTGCTGAGAAGTTCCTTTTAAGTTAGTTTGTCTTATTTCAAGTGTACAATAATATTTGCACTAAAAGCGAGACCAATAATACTTGGTAAGATTTTGCGTTTTTGCAGTGAATGCAAAAAAAGAAAGAAAATCCCTAAAATAGCATGTAACTGTTTGTAAATGGCCTCTTAACCCTTCCCAGATTGATGTGTAGCAGCAGTTGATTCTCTAAAATTGTTGCTGTTCTTTTCCCAACACAAACTGCCAAAACAAATGGTGTTAATCGATCGGGATTGGTTAATTGAGTGTCTTCTTCTCCTCTTTCGTCTTCCCGAGTGTACTTTCCTCTTCAACTTTGTGTCGACTCCGCTTTCCATACTTTGAGAGATCTTAATTTTTCTTTATCTCAGCACATTCAGGAGGAGTTTCATAAATATTTATTAGCTGAATTTAACTTTTTCTGCTTCAGTGCTGATCCCAAGTGAGCTCAGGTAATGACGGATACACGGCGCAGTTTTACCGCATAAAACCTGGGTTATAAGTAAGGAAGCAGAGAAAAGATTGAAAAACAAAGGAGAAAGAAACAGATGAGCAAAAAAGAAAAGAGGAGAGGCCTTGTCACAGCTAAGTGAGATGGATTACATTAATTAGGCTGCTGCAAATAGAGGCAGACATGAACTCAAACATGCACTGATTTATAAAAAATAAATAAATAATTTAATAAAAACGATGCAGCTGAAAGTAGCCAAGGTGAATTTGAGAAAACCTGAGCAAAGGGACGGGGGATGGAGGAGGATTCATGAGTAACACCAGCACAGACAGGTTGATAAACAGCTGCTCCTGCAACACACTCCCCGCTGAATAAACGCTCTAAAATCAGCGTCGCAAACATCCAAGAGTGTGTTGGCCTCCGCTGGTTAGCAGGCAGTGCTGTGCCGCTGCGTCTGGCCGTCCAATGACAGGAGGGAGGAGATAAAATGAAGAGCAAATGGATATAGGGAGGAAAAACAGAGAAATGTGGAGAGAAACGATAAGTAAGAGAGACTGATGAAGACAAAAGGAAGGAAGAGTGAGAAGGAAGTGATGGTCCGTTCTGCATCACAGAGGTGAGTCAGGTGTTCAGAGGAAAGATGGAGCGTCTATTAATAGCAGCAACACATTAGCATGAATCCTGGTTGGAAGAGCAGAGACCCTCACCAGAACCGCTTATATCAAGAGAAGAAGAGGAGGAAGAAGAAGAGTGTTTGCAGTGTTAATGGATGTATTTAACAGTAATTTCTGTTTCACTTTTACACCCAGGTGAGGTAGAGGCTCATCGCTGCACCTCAATCTGAGTGAAACGAAACGTCATCCAGGTGAATTTAGAGATTCTGGGGAACTCAGGGTATTTCTGACGAGCAGCTGATTCAAATTCAAAAATAATTTAAATGTTGTTGTAACTCATTAATTCCGATTCTTCAAAGAGTTAGTGTAGCACCATTAAGGAAAGATGTCCTGTTGCCATCTGCATCACAGGGAACCTGAAGAAGCCTCTGACTGATAATCCTTCTTTGGATAATCATCTTATAAACATGAATGAGTGGTAGTTTATTTTTCTTAAAATGTTTTTTAAGTCAAAAATTAACCATATATAATGTAATTGAAGTAAAATAACATTTTTTATGTTGAAATTCAAACAAAAAGGATCCATCACAAACGGTGGCTGAGAAAATAAAAAAAACACATTAAAAATGCCTGATTGAACTACATTCATGACCAAAAGAAAAAACTCAAATCTTACTAATCATTGTTAAAATAAAATGGATAACGATATTTTGTTATCCAAAAACGTTTTTGGACTGTCGAGAGGTTCTGCAACTGCCTGAAAGCAGATTTGCTCCGCCAGAGAAAGCTACTAGTTAATTAAAACGTGTCAAACTCGAGGCTCTGATCTGTTCAGCAAGTAATAAAACGTCACATTTAATGTCATTAATAAGTAAAATATAACACAAATACTTTGATTTTTATTGCAAAAGAAATCACAAAAAAAATCATGAAATCTTGGAGGGACTGAAAAGATGTTCAATAATATTATTTAATGTTAAGAATTGACATTTTAGTGAGCAGGTTTTATTAATATATTCTGGCACAACCGGCCCTTTAATAGCCTCCATGACCTTGATTTGACCCAATTTGACCCAGTTTGACACTTCTGAATGAGCACCAATTACATCCAGACTGGACCGCTCCAAAGCTGCTCACAACTAAACATCTGATTGCTAGATACTCCAGAAACTTTAGATTCCTTTGCAGAGAAAGAGTGGCACAGCAATCAGACGATTTCTCGCCAAAGCCAACCGGGTGACCGACGATGTAAGATGTTCTCACTCCTCTAAGTGACACTCGCAGCGCTGCTCATCATCTCCGACTCTTCCAGAGAAGCGAACGGCATCATGCACTCCATCCACATAGTGTGTGATGCCTTGCAGGGCTCCTAGCAGCACATTGTGTAATAGAAAACCTCTCCAACAAGGCTCCATTCTTCTCACCCTGTGTTTGTGCTGATGGCTGCAGCCGAAGCACTGAATTACTGCTCTGACAGGCTTTTCCTCACTGTCGCTATTCATAGACCTCTACAGCCAAGCACACACAAACACACACACATACGCACACACACCTTTCTTTCTTTCTCTCCACTTTTTCCCATCATGGCTTGAAAATACCCATACACTCCCCTCTGACAGGCCATCTGTGGCTTTAAAGCAACGCCACGTTTTGTGTAGATGTGTGTGTGCGCCGCAGATTTTGTGCTAATTTACTAAAAACAAAAGCAAAGCTTGCCTTGGAGAAACTGAATTATGGCGTGCCAAAGAGAAACAGCATGAAACAGAGACCAAAATAAATCAAAACAAGGGGAAACAGATCAGGGACTCAAGAAAGAGGGAAAAAAACCAAACAAGAGGCCACTAATCACCACCAGTTCTCTGTTCTCTCTGTAACTTTTACATCTATACATCATTCTTGTCAGGACTGACAAACAAACGTTTATGTTTTAGGATTGATTTTAACTTTTATTAGAAACTTCACCCATAAAGAACACAAGTTGAAGACATTTTTGTAATAAATTGATGAGCTGAGAACAAAATAAGTAATGAATGATATAGTAGAAGATTTATTTATGATAAATTGCATTTGAACATGTCAAAGTACAGCAAATTTGTAGGTTATTGAAACAACAAGAGAATCACAGTTTAACACATCTAAGAGATACAGAAAGACATTTTTTGGAACAGTTTGCGCAAAAAAAAAAAATCTAATTTTTTTCTGTTTTAACAGTTTCTGGATACAAGCCAGTAAATGACTGTTCTGTTCTTTGTACGTAATTTGAATTATTATCTACTGTGTCTCCGTGTAGTTAAGTAAATAATGCATTTATTGATCCACGCTTTGTTGCTTACAACAAACACATAAAGTGTGTCTTTTTAAATGAAGACTTGCTATTTGTTATGTAAATATATCCTCAGATTTCCACCCACAGTTGCATGACACTACTGTGAGGGTCATGGAGCTAAATTATTTATTTATTTGTAAACTTGGTCATAGCAAACAAAAACAAATGGTAGGCTTTTGTTTTCTTAAAATGTTTTACATTTTAAGAAAAATAAGTCAAAAATCAACCATAAAGTGATTTGTTTTTTTTGGGGGGGGAGGGAGGTTTGTATTTTAATTTCAAAAGTTTTTGTTTGTGTGGGAATTTAAACAAAAAGGCAGCAGGTCCACCAGAGCCACAAAGAGTGACTGAGTACACAAAATATAAACTTGGAGAGTTATTTGCTTCATATGATATAATCATTCCACAATAAAATAATAATAAATAAGATGTTAAAACGCCAGAATGAACGACATATATAACAACAAAATCTTTGTAATTTTGGTCTAGTTTCTTGTGAAAATATTTTAATAAATTTTAAATAAGACAAAACTAATTTACTAGTAAGTTTTCAGCAAGATATAGTGTCTTGTTTTAAGTAAATAATTCCATAATATAAGTGAAAAAAAGATAAGACACTTTCCTCCTGTTTCAAGTGAAATTAGTTCTTTTTTAAATTAATATTAAGTAAAAAATTACTTTAAAAAAAAGCTTCTATAGCTCAATGAAAAGTCACTCATAAGTTAGTTTTGTCTTGTTTCAAGTATACTAAGATATTTACACTATAAACAATAACAATAAGTGGTAAGATTTGTGTTTTTGCACTACGAGATGAGGATAAACTTTACATTAGGAGGCATTAAACACGTCAATAAGCAGCTGAAAATAAACCTTTCCTCTAAATGTTTTGGTCACTTTTGTTCAACATGTTTGTGAGTTTGTTTGCAGAAGGTAGAGAGAGGAGGAGGAACGATGGGGACAACACAAATCCATCCACGTCTCCAAAGCTGTAATCACATTTTTTATAATTGACATGCATGCAGACGGAGAGGCGTTCCTCAGCGCCTGTTAATAGCTGCTGGAATCAAAGCGCTGCCAGTTACCCGTTCCTTTAAATCCCCAGCTAATCAAACTGTATTGTTGTTATTAACTGGGTGTGTGCAATGCTGCAGAGAATTATCCAGCTGCTGAATCCAACACTCAGCCCCCCTGCGTGCAGATTTGTGTGTTCAAGGTGTAGAAACACAACATGATTTCAAAGTCTACAAAGAATCAAGACGGCAATAAGTCACCAGTTCAATCACTTCTTCAGTCTGAGCAGAACCTATTAGTTTGTAAAAGTCATGGGTTACTTACCAACAAACAGGGAAAGCTAACCTTCGCACCAAGGCGGAGGCAATTACTGGCCCCCCACACTGCCAGGCAACTTTGAGGTTTAAATGTTGCATGAAATGTCAGTAAAGTGGAGAAGAAGAAAGAGGAGGATCAATAGACAGACTGGTCTCTGTTTGTCTGGCAATGTTTGATGTTGTGAAAAAGGAACAAAATGTCATTTTGTGACTTTAAATTATTATAGGTAACCGTGTTCTTGTGTTAGAAATCTTTACCTGAAAGAAAAACCTTTTCAGCAAGATATGAGAGTTTGTTTTAAGTAGTTAATTTCTTAATATTGATTTTAAACAAAGTAATAATTCCATTGGCAGACTATTTCTGGACAATAATTTGATCATGCCAGCTATTTTTTAGTTATTCTTTAGTTATTGTGCTTCCTTCAACTTTATTGCTACTTTATTTTGCCAGGTAATATTGCCATCTGATGGCTTTATTTAGTGATAAAAAGTCGTTTTTTCATTTTCACCAAAAGATATTACATAAACAAAATTGAACAACTGGTTCAACCACCACATAGTAAACATATAAATTTTAAATTGACTTTTTGTATTATCACAGTGACTGTAAACAAAATAAACCCTGCTGGATTAACTCAGAAACAATAATAATAAGAAGAAAGCTAACCCCTTGACCTACTAGATAAATGATAAATAAAACGTTTTTCTTTTGGTTTATCTCTGCACGCTTCCTTGAAGGACGCTGGTCAAATTAATTCAAAGAGAAGGATGTTATGACAGTTCGCTTTGATGTCGATCCTCAGAGAGTATGTGTCGCCATGTAGCAGAAACATGGCCGCTTTGTGAATTCACTCCTCTGTGCATGTGTGTGTGTGAGGAGCCTGTGTGAGGTGATAAGCAGCTGATGAAAGTCACCGCGTGTGTGTGTTTAACTACCTGATCATGCTTTGTGTTGTTGGGGGGAAGCGGGTTGGACACCATCGGTCCGAACAGATCCAGCTCATTCCCGCCGGGAACCGTGTGATCAGAGCCTTTCCCTTCTCCCTCTGGAGCATCTGGAAGACAAGAAAACAGAATTTAAATCTGAGTTTCAGCTTTAAAAGAACAAACAAACAAAAAAACACTTGGACAAGCTGGAGAGAGAACTGATAAAAAATAATTATCACATGATTTAGTTTTAGACTTTGTGGAGCAGTAACTTCCCTCTTATTTGTCATAACTCTACAGAAAATGCAGCTAAAATGCTACTTGATACGCTGGTGTTTGCAAAGCAGCCAAACCAGGAGCGGCTTTTGTTTTTCTCTGATTGGCTGAACCCCAAAGAGCAGAAATAAGGAAGACTGTGAACGTTAGCTTTTGCGGTTGTGCTAAAACGGTTTCCTCTGTACGTTTTAATCAATCAGATGGTTACAAAGTCGGGTTTCTTTCACCTGAAGGACTTTTCCAAGATTAGAGGACTAAAGTCTCAGCAAGATCTAGAGTAACTCATCCCTGCATTTATCTTTAGTTGCACTGATCACTGCAACAGTGTCTTCACAGGTCTGCCTAAAACAAATCAATCATAAACAGTACGCTGCAGCTGGAGTTCTGACTAAAAGCAGAAAGATACAACACATCCTGCCAGTTTTAAAGTCCTTGCACTGAAAGAATAGACTTTAAAATATTAGTATATAAATCACTGAATGGCTCAGCACCACAACACATTAAAGATCTGCTGTTGTCAAAACAACCTTCTGCTCTGCATCCACAGAACCAGAACCAAACATGGATAAGCAGCTTTCAGCTTCTATGCACTTCAAATCTGAAACACTGAGTTCCCTAAATCATGACTAAAATCTCACCTGTCTAGAGTCACATTGTGCTAATATTAGTTCATAAAAATAAAATGTTAATATTATATGATTAAGAGGCCATGGCGGACTCTAATTTAAGCACAAACACCAAAAAATTACTCTAAATTAATCACAAAGCATTAAAATAAATCAGAACACAGAACTTCCTGGACTTGAGTTCTGTATATTTTAGCTATGACCCGATGCTCTGCTATGACTTTGGTGGACGATCTGTGAAGTAAAAATTGTGTCATTATTTAAGAATTTTATTTTAATTCTTTAGTCATTTAACACTAGTATTGTTTAGTCTGTTAAAACGTGTAGGTAAAGGAGTCTTTGAGGAATCAGTTAGATAGTTTCCTTTTGACCTCTCCTTGGAAAAGTTCAAGTTGGTTGTCAATTAGTAAAATAAGGCGCCAGTGTTTGTTAACAGATAACAATAAACAAGTTAGGTAATTGTAGTGAGATGGAATAAACCCTAAGGTTTAACAAATTCCTCCATTTAATGTCACAACCTAAGGCTACGTGTTGAGTGCACGTTCAAAGTCTGATAATGTTCTTGTTATGCAAAATTGTTCCATTAGTAATCCTGATTTTTGGAAATGCACCTATTTTTGAACAAAGATGTTTATCATCTGAACAATTAACTTACCCTAAGGATGTTGCACTTTCTCTATACCCTGTTAAGAGTGACTGTGCATTAACCTGTTCGACTGGAATTGGCTCTGGGCCAGGCAGTGACCACATTGTGTAGAGAGTCCTATATATTGTGAGAGCTTGCAGATCCAAGTCAGAACTCATTGTAGGTACAGCTGTTGTGCTGTGGTTACTGTGTGTTTTCCGTTTGCAAACGACTGAAATAAAGATTTTGCTCTTTGCCATTTGCCAGAGTCTCAAGCCTGATCTGTTACTACAGATTAGATTTTGTTTTTTCCACAGATCTCACGTCGCTCATGGGGGAAAAAGGAGAAATGCCTCCACACGTTGTTTTCTTAAAATCTGAAATCTGTCGGGTTCTTTTCCTCAAGGTGTTAGCCTCTGCTCTAACTGGGTCTGGATCCTCTCTGCCTTGCAGCTCATTGGCTGCTTCAATCATATGGTCACCTGAGGGACACCTTCCAGGTACAAAAAACAGAAGAGAGAGAGAAAGAGAGATGGCGGCGCAGTTTCAGGAAGACGTTTTTGTACATGGGAGTTTTTTATGAAGCTGATTGCTTGCAGTAACTTTCTGAAGGGCAGGAGTTGTCTTTGCCCCGGGGGCTGCAGGAGCAAGCCCTTGCCTCAAGCAGAGAAGTGGGGGAAAGGTTGGTGGAGGTCTGAGAAACGTCCCGTTTTTACCATTTTGTGCATTTTATGCTTTGAATGCACAAAATCGCTTTTCTACATGTTCATTTCTTTACAAAACAAGGGTCAGAAACATAAAAATAAACCAAAACACACCGTTTCTACAAACCTCTCGCAATAAATCAATTAATCCCATGATAAATTAAAACAACCTCCATAATTTTCCAGTTGAATGATTTAACATTTTTATCTTTTTAATCAAAAATTGGATGATTTTTTAAAAATTTACCGTTCTTTCCCACATATTTATATTTTCTGTTATACAGACAAACAAAAACATGACAAAATGGACACATTTGGTAATAAATGGACACATTGAGTTTTAAATCTCAACTTTTGACTTAAATAAAATATGCAAAAACGTTCATGTTGGATTCCACAAAAAGGTTGATTTTTGTACCTTTGTTGATAATTTAGTCAAAAAAAAAAAAAAAAACGAGAGCAGGAAGTTAAAAACTCTGTTAATAAAGTTGACATTGAAGAGTTCATAAGAAAATGAGTGGATTTTTGAAAAGATAATAGCTCCGCTGCACATCTTCAACTTAAACGGACGTTTTAATATGCAGACTAAAAGAGGAGGACTGCGCTGATAATTTAACTTTTTTCTTTGATTCATCCATTATCTGAAGTAGAAGGAAGTGGATTTAAGTTCTTAATGTCTCACTGAAAATGGAAAGTCTTTTGAACCTCTAATGTTTCTTTTATAAAACCCAAGTCATAAATATCTGAAGAAAAGTCTTTATTATTTAATTTTGACCAACTAAAGTCTCATACAGTGGACACATATTCAAACACTTTCATAAAGCACTTCTTAAACTAAACAATCCATGTTTTGCATTGTATTTGTATTTTTATTTTTCAAATACAAAAACATACATACAGAGATGTTCAAAGTGCGGTTCAGGGGCTATTTGTGGCTCCTGAAATAATTCTGTGTGGAGCCCCAAAGGCAATTCATCAGAGATAAAAATTAGTCCTGCCAGCCCAGGTGATTGTTGTAGATAGAATTTATTAATTTTTTAATGAATAAAAATTGTTACTTACAATAAAAAATGTTTGCCACAAAACAAAATAGGAGTTAAAAAAAAAAACTTTTTGTTTTGCATTCTCATTAAATTTATAATTTGACATCCTGTGGGTTTTACTCAAAAGCAGACTGCTCTGGTTTAATTAACTTGTTACATTTAGCTAAGCACAGAAAGAAAAATTAGAATCTCTTCATTTCTAATTTTTTTCCAACCAAGCCCAAAAGAATTGGCAACCAGATGCCTTTTGAAAAGTTTAAAAGGCATCTGGTTGTGTTGGTGTTTACATATAGTTAAAAAAAAAACAATAAACAAACAAAAAAAAAGCAAAAAATATATTTTTAAGATTTTTGCAAGCTTTATATTTGCCTTTCCTACAAAATAAACCAAAATACATTAGACAATTGGTATTTGTGGTGCCAATAAATATCAAAGATCTGAAAATACTTTAAACCCCATCTATAAATGCTTATTTTAATAGTTCAAACACCAAATATGTTTTGATATGCACAGTGGAAATCATATTGACACTTCCTCTACTAGCTCTTTGGGGAACAGCCAATCAGCAATAAGAAAAATGAAAGATGCTTCTGGATTGGCTGGTTTGAAAACGGCAGCCAATGACATGTCAAGGAACAGATATTTCAGCTTCTCAAGATGCCTTTCCCATCAAATGTTTTAGATATACTTTCAGCAGATTTGTAATTAAATTTTTTTCTTTTTTAAATACATATTTTTGGGCCTCATCCTTTTAACTTGGAGATTTGTTTAGACATCCCTGTTGTAGTGTGTTGTGGATGAGATGGATTGTTGATGAAATTTGTTAACAATCTGCCGTATCTTACTTAGTTGTCCTCAGGAGTGCAGTGGTTTTCCCAACTCTATACATGTTTAAGTTTGTTGATGCTTCTGGCATCTTCCAGCCTCCAAGATGAGCATTGGTTTCCTTGCATACAGGATCTATAAAGATATTTAGCTGGAGGAAACTGTCATATAAAGAAGTGGGTCAGCATGATATGGGCTAAACTATTTGTGTGAATAAATATGTTCTTAAAAAGGTAATAAAAATTTTAAAGGGATAGAGTTTTTTTGTGTGTCCTGAGACCAATATTTATGGGACATCCTGTCAGAAATTCAATTAAAAAATTTAAATATATACACATTTAAAGAGCCCCAATAAAAATGTGTTTATATATTCTTAATTTTTTTATTCAATGCATGTTTATATCAGTTTGTGTAAGGTTGAGATGGAACTGCACATGAACAATCAATTCATGCAGCATAATTGAATACTGTAAGTTTTTTCTGCGATAATAAACCTTAAGGTTTTCTTAAGGTTTTCCCATATATCAATATCTAGTTTGTGAAATATCTGAAGTTCAAAATCTTCTTCTTCAGGTCTCTTCTGTCTCTTTTTTGTGCTGGCAGTCTGAATAGTTAATAAAAGGCAATTTTCACATGCAGTTTCATCTCAACCTTAGTCAAACTGACATAAACCTGCAGTGAATGAATCAAATAAAAAAAATATAAACACGTCTTCACTGAGGCTCTTTAAATGTGAATACATTTAAAATTTTAAATTGTATACAAAATAGACCAGGAGTACTAGAGTACTCTGTACTTTTGCAAGGTATCGCAAAATAAGAAAAAATCCTCCATCTTCCCTAGGGGACTCTGTAAAAATTAAACCAGACATTTAAATTCACTCTTTTTCCACCAACACAAGCTTCAACTACAGCATGAGATGTCAGATTCTGCAGGAGTCAAAAAAGGAGCTAAATCTCATCTGCTCACCAAACCTTCTGTGTGGGGGTAAAACTGGACAAAAAATATCTTATGTTGGTTTATTAAAAC